TTTTTTGAATTTTCCAAGGCCGGCCAAGGCCAAGATGGCGGCCAAATCGAAAAATGGCGGAACAAAAAAGTCTTAATTTTTGATATACTTCAATGCCTGAAAGATCGGGCAAAAACTACGGACAGAAGGACGGACGGACGGACGGACGGACGGACAGAAAAAATATTATCTCAGAATAATTGGTGGAGACGCCAAAGAAATTTTTTTAAATCGTCTTAACTCATGAACTGATGGTCCGATTTCGACGTTCTTGGTCTTGTTGGAAAGGTCTCGACGAGAAGCTTCAGAAAAACCATGTTTTGAGATGACTGGGCCGCGTCCACCCGGTAAATGGCAAAAACTGAGAATTGCTCCAAATTTTTAAGTGGTCAAATCTATGGAGACGGTTGGTCGATTCCCAAGTTTGAATGCATTTTCTGGGCCTATGAGCCATGGGCTTTCTAGCGATACTTCATTCATACCAGATGGCCTCTTGGGAAAAAAGTTCGAAATTGCGTGTATATATAGGCGAGTTCGACTTTCGGCACAGAGGTGCTTTCGTCACTCGCGCCTGCTGTCGCCGGCTGTGATATTACAAGAAATAAAATGATTATATTTATTGGTTTGAATTGTTTTTTTTGTTAATGTGTATTCTTTTTCTTCCTCTATACCAAAACTTACATCACATCGGTTGCGATCTGTTCAAAAAGAATATTCAATTGATATAACTTTCGAATCTGACATACAGTGAATGAATTATATACTAACATTGTACAAAATCCAATTCAACCAGTGATTGGCAGTGTTAAATATGAATAAAAATGAAAAGGTACTGTAGTATTTGAGAATCGAAACATTTCTATGCTCTTTTAATAATCAACACAAGAATAAATAGTTTGATTAATTTTCTTATTAGTTTTGAGAATTTTTCTTCATACAATTTTCATTAAGAAGTATCAGAAGAAAGTACTTATCAAGATACGATCATCCGTTGGAAAATTATAAGCGTTAAGTACGCGAACCATTTGTTGAAAAATTGAAATTTTGGGCGAACGGACGGGAAAAACGTGATTTTAGTTTCATTGAAGTTTTCGGACAAATTTCGGCCAAAAAATTGTCCGTCCGTCCGAAAACGTATCCGAACATTCGGACTGTCCGAATGTTCGGACAAAAAAGCGTGTCCGAAAAGTTTCGTACAAAACATGTCCGTGTCCGTTGTCCGTTTGTCCGAGATAAAAAATTTCGGACATTGTCCGTCCGTCCGAAAAAAAGTTCGGACGGACAAGTTTTGTCCATCCGAAGTCTTCGGACGGACAGACGGACAAAAACGAATTTTTTCATTTTTTGTCCGTATCCGTTGACAGCTTTAGGCGGCTCCACTCACCGAGATTTCCAATGAATCATTGTCAACTGGCCATTTCCCTGACAAATGGAAACGCTCGAGTGTGTCACCTATTTTCAAAAAGGGGTCGAGATCGAAAATTGAAAACTATCGTTGCATTGCTAAGCTCCAAACTGTGGCGAAGTTCTTCGAGCATTTGGTGAACGTCAAACTTCTGTCTCTGGTACAGGACAAAATCACCAAAAAGCAACACGGCTTCATGAAGTCCAGATCTACTGCATCTGATCTCACCGAATTCATCTACTATGCCCAAAGAGGCATAAATTCTGGTGCGCAAGTAGACGTTCTCTACACGGACTTCAGTAAAGCGTTTGACAGAGTAAACCACAAGAGATTGATTCTGAAACTCAGATCGTTCAACCTGCCGGACAATCTTCTTGCTCGGATCGAATCATACCTGTCAAACAGAACACAATTCGTTAAGCATGGGAGCACCGAGTCAAACGAATTCAACGTGTCATCTGGTGTGTACCTCAGGGAAGTCATCTCGGACCCACACTATTTTTGTTATTCATCAATGACATAGTGGACGAAATGGACGACGTGTTCATTTCTTTGTTCGCCGATGATGTAAAAATCGCCAAAATCATCCACTCGAGCACGGATGCGGAAGCGTTACAGCGAACCATCGACAAACTAAAGGTTTGGTGCGACGTGAATAATTTGCACCTGAACTTTGACAAATATGCAGTCCTTACAAAAGGAAGGACATCATCGACACTAATTATAAATACGGTGATTTTACCTTCAAGCGCGTACTGGACCACAAAGATCTCGGCGTCATCATTGACCAAAAGCTTAGCTTTATAAAGCACATTGACGCGGTCACCTCGAGAGCTACAGCAGCCTTGGGATTCATCAAAACACTATACTACGCACTGGTTCAGTCTCATCTTGAGTACTGCAATGTTGTATGGCTACCAACTTATACCGTGCATATCGACAAAATTGAGAGCGTGTTGAGAAAGTTCACCCAGTTCGCCCAAAGAGAGTACCGTACGGCGGCCAACGGCTACAGTATCACCGACTACAACAAGCGACTTGAAGCGTTGAACATGACATCGTTGGAGCGTAGGAGAGTGAATGCATCTATTGTATTCATGTACGACATCGTGGATTGGATCGCAAATTGTCCCAATGTACGCAATGACATCGCAATTGGAGAGAGTGTACGTAGGTTAAGGCACACAGACTACCTAAAGATTAAAGATAAGCTCATGGACAAACAAATCAGAGCTCAAGTGCCTCAAATATCTTGTTGACAGTTAAACTTAACGTCATTATATTCCAATTCACTGGGTAAACCATCATGAGTTTTTCGGACGCAATTGACATATTCGAAAAATTTCGTTGGATCTTTATCAATTAGCTGCTCCATTTCCAACTTGTAATTCTTGAAGGCCAATCGAGCGCATGACTTATATTGTCTTCTCAAATCAGCATGCTTCACAATTGCTTCAGTTGAAAAACATGAGTTTTTCCGACTTTGCAGTGTATTGACACGATTCTTTATATAGCTGTGCTCACGATTTTTTTTATCAAGATATCGTAATAAACTAAAAATATCGTTCGATATCGTTATTATGATGAAATCTTAATAACGCTATCAACTTTTTATCAGGATATTAACTATATCCAAATAATAACGTTATCGGATGAATCTTAATAATATCGTTTGGAAGTTATCAAGATCGAATCCTGTTTGACACTGCCCTTGGCCCATCCTGAAGATCCACTTCCAGAGCTGGGAGCAGTTCTGGTCGATCTTGAGGATCCACCAAAACCCACTTCCAGAACTTGATGATTATTAAGGTTGAATGTTGATAAATTATCAGGATTCGATCTTAATAACTTCAAAACGATATTATTGAGATTCATCCGATAACGTTATTTAAAGCTGTCATCGGACACGGACAATTCGGACAAAATGCTGTCCGTGTCCGTCCGTCCGACTTTTTTTCGGACGGAAAGAGTTTTTGTCCGTCCGACTTTTCGGACGGACAGCCTCTTGTCCGTTGACAGCTTTACTCGAATTCGCCTAAGTTTGAAATCTTGTATACCATGTACATACACATCCGTTGGATGTTAAACGATGTTGAACTGCTATTTGATTGTATTTTTAAAAAAAAACGTCAATAACTCAAGCAACACAAAAAGTTCGTTTTAATTCCATTGAATTTTTTTAAAAATGTAATCCAAAAATAAAACAAATGAAAACAAACGAATATTCATTGCTCGAAATCTCACAAAACCGCACAAAACTACACAAAAATGCACAAAACAATTTCAATCCGTACATACCATTGAACAAAAATCGACCGGAATATGGAATGTCAACAAACAAATGTCATTTGTTCAACTTCATTGTGGACTTTGTATACGAAAACACGTGAAAACATAACACAAAATATTTTAAATATTACAAGAAATAAAATGATTATATTTATTGGTTTGAATTGTTTTTTTGTTAATGCATTAACTTCGATTTTTTTTTTCGGAGTAGTCGTTTTTTGGCAAAAAAATGTATGGAGACCTATAACCACCCCTAGGGAGGAAGGTCTTGAGCACTAGAATACTATAGAAAAAAGAAAAACTTGAATTTATGCTATTTTTATGGAAAATTTGAAATTCTAAGATTCGACCCTATTTTGTGGGTATTTACCCTTGACCCAATGGGTCACCCCTGTACCTGTAAACTATCTCGGCTCTACTATCCCACGATACAAAAAGAATTTCATTTCCTTTTGTTTTTGTCAAAAATTTGGCTATATATAAAAAATCCGGACTTCCATACAAAATAAAAAATCGAGGAAAAAAATACATATAATTAGTTACCATACCCTATTGGGTCACATGGGAAAACTAATGATGACAGTCGATAGAGCATAAAAAACGAGACTATGAACATGGAGGGCACCAGGGGTCGAATGCCCTCCCTAACCCTTAAATATGGGTTCGAAAAGAAAAAAAACGAATTTTCATTGGATACCCTTATTTAGAGGGTGGGGGAGGGTCAGGTGGCAAAAATAATGATGCCAAACGATAGCTCGTCAAAATCGAGTCTCTGAACATAGGGGGGGTTTGGGGGGCTAAAACCACTCCCAGAGCCTTAAATCGCGTCTCTAAGGAAACATCTCGAATGGAAAACACGATTTTTCACCCAAAGCACCCTCCCTTTGGCAATAAGGAGGGGTCAGGGCGGAAAATTAATGATGCCAATAGATAGCAAAAAAAGTTGGCCTATCAACATGTCAATCCCAAAGTCGTCAATGCTCTCTCCATACCTTAAATCTGGCTTCCAAATTTTACGCCCCCCCCCCCCCCTTGCACACGTGTGGTTGCGATATGTTCAAAAAGAATATTCAACGGATATAACTTTCGAATTTGACATACAGTGTTTATTATATGCCATCATAGTTCACTTGCTATCACCAGTGGCGTTGGCGATGCGAGCACATAGCGTCTGGAATAATAGTAATATTACATTCATTAGGTAGATTGAGGTAAAATTATTTCTCCACTCTATTTGGATAAAATCCACTCGCGTGCGGCAAACCGTTGGCATGAAGATGACAATTTCTTCTAATGTGAATTTTTTTCGATTTCGCAAATATCATACCTCTTCAAACCGCTTTTGTAAATCGAATATTAATTTTGTTTTAATAGTCGTTCCCACTGCTGACGAAGATAAACCAGAAGTTTGCATCGACGACGTCGACGTTGCAAGTACTACCGATGTACTAGGTTGCTTTTTAGACTTTTGCGATGTATCGTTCTCATTTTGAAGTTCTAATATCACATGTTTGAAGTATTCTAATGGTGGTACCTAATTCCAAATATTAAACAAAGGTATTAGTAGTTCATCAATCAGTATACTGATTTGTTATAACAAATGCTATAAATAATGCTGCCATTTCAAAAATCCCGAAAAGGATATACCCGAAAAAGTTGGACGGAAAATTAGGAAATTTTTCACAAAAATCAGTATTGTCCTGAATTTATCGAATAAACCAAGAAAATTCATTAAAAATTTCTAAAAAAGAATATAAAAATACAAAACCGATAATTTCAGGAAATCAGGATATTTGAGCAATTTTTGAAAAAGCAGGACAGTCCTGAGTTTTGTAAAATTTGCTATGAAAATCAGGACTGTCGTGGCAAAATCAGGATAAATGGCAGCATTACCTATAAAGTTCTACATTTACTTGGTAAAATAATTGATATTCGGCATCCGTTATGCGAAGTGCAACCTCTTCTGGAAAATGCAAAACATTCTGCAACTCCTCCAATTCACCTGGGAATGTGGGAACTGACGATGATGATACAACCGTAGCACCAGCCAACGGTGTTATTTTTGATAATGCAACTAAAATAAACAAAAAACAATGGTGAGAAACACTTGATATCATTCATGGCCATTTGCAGAAATTAAGCTTTAATTGAGTGGTCGGGAATGAAAATGACTCAAGTCGAACCACTTACGGATAAGCGTAATACGATATCTTGCTTTTTTGAAGTGCACATAAATTCTGTTCGCTTGAAATTGAATCGTGAAACATCTGTTGACTATACAGGGTGTAACAGAATTGCGTGCCAATATTTTAACCACGTATTGCTGGGGCCAAGACCTATCGAAAATGTAGGAACGACTTTTCTGAATTCGGCCTCTATGCCAAAGTTTTGGCCATCGGGGAATTTTTGTCCGAAAATTCGTACTATGGCAAGGTGGTCATATCTTAGGCTATTGCGTGCGTATTTTTGATCACAACTACATGAATATTTGCTTTTTTGGAAGGTATTGAGGTCCTCTTAGTGACACCACATGAATTTTATACAAAAATATCATTTGGCTTGGCCAAAAATGGCGCCGGAATTATGTTATGTAGGAATTTTCTTCTTAATAATAACGTTATTTGGCATAATAATAACATAATATGTTATGCGTTATATCGGGTGTTATCTTAATAAATCCTATGATTCGGCGATAATAACATATTATTAACCTTCAACTGCATAAGCCCGCCTTTTGGCGGGCATCATTTTAACACCTGTATATTGTGAACTGTACGTCGGATGACATTGCTTCAAGGAGAATTTTCATTTGTCAATGTTTTTTCTTTATAATTGTCTTTGGCGCTATTTGTCTATGTAGTACGATAGGTGAGTTATAAACAAAAATGTGTACGAAAACGAAAATTTGACAAAATAAATTATTCGGTTTCCAAATTAGACACATTTTTGACACTTTTAAACAATGGATTTCATTGTTCTCTGTCTATCGCATTTCCTGACTAAACCATGGGAAATCTAGGATTATGAATATTTTTTTCGTTATCTATGGCCAAAAATCAACCAAATTTCAGTACTCTGACACTGCGCCTTCTTGACAGTTCTCATATAAATGAGCCCAGAAGCGCCAACTGGTGCAAGAACATGTAATAGAACCGTTGTATACCAATAGTATTAAAAGCTTACACGTTGGGTATACTGTTATTGACTGTTTTGAATAGTAAGTAGTTCTTTCACATAAAAACATAAAAATCTGCTTGCATTTAACTGATATCTCGCTTATTCCATTGATATTTTTTCCAAAGGAGAAAAAAAAATATTTCAAGCCTCGATTGCACAGCATATCACTATTAGAATCATTGTGTCAACATGAATCAACCAATAAACAAACCAAAACAAACACAAACCACACAATGAAATACCACTTTTGTATAATTATAGCAATCACTTGAAGAGAAAAACTCAAAAAAACATGTTTCAATAAAAAAAAATTATTCTAATATTCTAGACCCGGTATATATGAAATTTAA